GCAATCAACAGCCAATTATTGCACAACTATATTCTACCCACCTCAAGACTCCGCTCCAATATAGAAGCATCAAGAAATATGGACCAATAGGCTTTCTACAAACACTTCTATTCAATACCCATTGTTTCTGTTCTGTCTTGTGTTGATACTTTTAATACCCTATTAATATCCCCTCCTGTTCTGTCTTGTGTTAATGCCACATCACCCTTCCCACCTCACTCAAATGTAGATATAAAATCAGAGATACGTTCTAATCAGTTGTGTATTTGTGAAGTCTTTGAAAATGTAATAAGTTTTACGAAACGCGCCCGTGTCGCGTCAGACTAGAAATAAAAATGAATTTTGGAGAAGTGATTTTTGATTTACCTCCAACAGTGAAGCGTAATGTACGAAAGATTGAGAAAATTCGTGTTAGAATTATTAATCTTACTTTTTCGGTCATATTTAATAATATATGTCTACAGGAAAGACTGCTACCAAAATATATATATATATATATATATATATATATATATATATATATATATATATATATATATATATATATATATATATATATATATATGCGGAAAATCCACAGAGAAATATGAAATGAGGTGAACGTTTCGGCTTTGTTAAAGCCTTTGTCAACACCAGACAAAGTCTGGTGTTGACAAAGGCTTTAACAAAGCCGAAACGTTCACCTCATTTCATATTTCTCTGTGGATTTTCCGCATAAAATGATCAGTGTTTTGTGATCGTCAATTGCATATATATATATATATATATATATATATATATATATATATATATATATATATATATATATATATATATATATATATATATATATATATATATATACTCACCTAGTTGTGCTTGTGGGGGTTGAGCTCTGGCTCTTTGGTCCAGCCTCTCAACTGTCAATCAACTGGTGTACAGGTTCCTGAGCCTATTGGGCTCTATCATATCTACATATGAAACTGTGTATGGAGTCAGCCTCCACCATATCACTGCCTAATGCATTCCATTTGTTAACTACTCTGACACTGAAAAAGTTATTTCTAACGTCCCTGTGGCTCATTTGGATACTCAGTTTCCACCTGTGTCCCCTAGTGTGTGTGTGTGCCCCTTGTGTTAAATAAACTGTCTTTGTCTACCCTATCAATTCCTTTGAGAATCCTGTATGTGGTGATCATGTCCTCCCTAACTCTTCTGTCTTCCAGCGACGTGAGGTTTAATTCCCGTAATGTGTGTGTGTGTGTGTGTGTGTGTGTGTGTGATGAGTGAGAGGGAGAGCCCATGAGAGCACATACAACACGTGTATATTCAACAGTGACGGGCATGTTTACCTAACCTCCGCCTCAGGTCTCATACACTCTTAATTTCTAAACTCGTTTGCATAGCTCAACAAGAATGTTATTTGCTTAGCTAAATGAATTTGGCTTTATGTGCCATATTCATTTAGCTCTGTAATCTTTTCCACTACCACTCACAGGAAGGGTTTTTTTGGGCGGAGGGGGGAGGAATCAAATCATATTATTAAGTATTTCATTGAAAATATTATAACCATACACATTAATGTTGAGTTTACCCTAAACGCTGCCCGTGATCACTGGCTTTATGGAACAAATATAAGGTAAAGTAATAATCAAGATCATAATATTAAGTATTTAATTGAAAATATTATAACCATACACAATAATAATTAAACCATTAGACTATATTGCACTTGGAAGGGATATGAGGATAATATTTTTTTTGCATGCGATCAAGCAGGAAAATAATTGATAAAAAAATCCCCACTGGTATCAGTACAGAATATTATCTTACGCAACGACCGCTGAATAGTGATAGGCTCTCCTCAATATAATAAAGAGGTTATTAGCCTTTAAGACGTTTACAGACATCTTCCATTGTCATCATTTTCCTCCTGGGCATGGCAGCTCCCTACCCCCCAAATACCCCCAGACGGGAGAGTCAGAAACTTTCCCTTACGGGCGCTGACAACTCTCCCCTGGTGAAAGTATAGTGCGCTGCCCACTGCCCTTCACTCTTGCAAGTGAAAGCGTCGGAAATTCCCTTTTTGATAATATTATCAAATAAAAATGGGAAGATATTACGTACCGGAGGTTATGTATAATAGTTTTTGTCTGGAAATCGGCAACTCATTATACAGTAAATTCAGCTTTTAAAGTAGCTTTTTTCAGTATTTTTATTAGATGTACGAATGTGCCTTATCATATTTCCTGATAACTTTCTCACTCTCAACCAGTTTTTGATATGTTGTTCTTTTAATACAAAATTGAAACTCATTTACGATAAAGATCTAAACGAAATTCTTTACTACCATATTTTGAATAGCCTTATTAAAATATATATAGAAAACAATCTCTAAGACTCCAGTTGAAGGCTAAATTTTAAATTAATTATCCTAATAGTTGGTTCAAAATCCATTAACTGACACTATATCCTATTGAAACATAAAGAGTAATATAAATTTAATTTAGATAATAGTTATTATGATGGCCCTGCAAGCGATAGTAACAGCTAAGAAAGTAACATTATACAAATCATTCATGAACAGAAAACATAATTTAATCAACTTTATCGATTTTCTTTTAAACATTTGTCTCAAATTCTTTAAATTTAATCCAGCTATTGATATAAAGATCACAGGAACGATAGAAAAAATGAATTAATTAGCATGTTTTGGGATATAGAACGCTATCAACACCAAGGGCTCAAGAGTTTTCAAAAAACACTCCCTTACACATAAGGGATATCTTCTGGCTGACTAGAACTAGCTGACTTCTCACGGTGTTCAAGAGAAAACTTGATAAACACCTCCAAAGAATACCTGATCAACCAGCCTTGTCTAACAGCCTGGTTGACCAGTGAGACCGGGCCGAGGGGTCGTGGACCCCCGAAACCAACAACAGTCAATAGTTCCTCGAATTTGGCCTAAACAATTATAATAAAATATCTGTAATGATAAAAGTATGACTATTGGAATGTTGTGCGCTTTTGTGTCTCCTGTCAGCCTTTCCATTCCTTAAAAGAATTTAAGGAACGATGTAAATATTGAATTAATTTATATACAATATGTTATGTTTACATTTTGATATTCATTTTCAGAAAAATCTTCGGAACAACATAAAATGGGTCCTGTAGCGCAGTGGACTACGACTTCAGCTCACATCCGAAGGACCCAGGTTAAACTTCAGGTGACGTTTCTTTTCACCCCGATGCTTCTGCTCACCTAGCAGTAAACAGGTACCCCCAGGAGTTATGCAACTGTTGTGGGTTGCAACCCTGGGGAAGGTCAGTAGATCGTTGTGGGAGGACCAGGCTTCCTGTACCCGACTTTAGCTAACTGGTGGTGGTGGTTAAAGATTCGCTACCTGGAACAAAGTTCTAAGTAGCACGGGCTATGGTGAGCCCGTAGTTACCAATATGTATCATGATATAGTTTGTGACTGCTGCCATGCATGTTCTTGCCTCATAGGTTTAAGGTTTTTGGCCTCTTGAAAATTTAAGTTGAGTACTGTCTTTTAGTCTGCTATTTCGCTATGTGACATTTATTTTATTTATAGCTTTTATGTTAAATCATTGATATGGCTAATAATTACATTAATATAATTATTTTAATATTATATTACAATATTTTATTTTAATATTAGGGTACTCGCATAACTATGTTAATTTTAGTAATAACGTCGATGAATCACTATAATTAGACACCATGTTAACCTGTTGGTCTGTTTAGAGAATGTATTAAGGCCTCTGAAGAGATGTGGCAGTGTAGCTAGTCAATTATGTATGCTAAAGGCTGCCTCTTGTTACCCAGTACTAGACAGAGAGATGTCGACGTTCTCTGTCTGTCTGTCTGTCTGTCTCAATCTCTTCCAGTGCTGCGGTCATCATAGACTTTAGACTAGCTTTGACTGGTTGGTTGGAGATCAGCAGTTTTACCAGCACCTAACAGCCACAAAATCCTAATGAATAAAGAAAAATGAAGTGTTATTTATAGTCTTGAATTGTTTCCCATGTGCGATGAATTCCACAATTCTCAACTTACTAATCAATGTAATTATCTTTGATTAGATGATTTAAATTGTGCCGTTTTAGATGTTTTTTAGTTAATTTGATGTTTTAGAATCACCATGAAGACAGGAGGAAGAAAGTGAGAGGTGTGTTTCCCAGGAAGAGAAACCCGCCAGCCAGCCACAAAGTGACGATGGTCGGAAGGTAGCGACCACAATTAGTGGTTGACGGGAGGAGGAAGATGGTGAGAGGCAGCAGAAAAGCAGATAAAAAGTATTTACCAGACAGGAAAAGGAGCTTGGTAGTAATTATCTAAAAGTGATAGCCTAATAAGTGACTACGCGGAAGTGAAAGCCCTTTGTCGAGCCTACTAGCACTGTACCAGCCTACTAGCGCTGTACCTGGTGTATTTTTAATTATCACGGCTTTCCTGTCGATTGAATTCTTTGTTAAATCTGGCCACAACTTTAAAGTTGTGGATGGAGGTGGCTTCCACGACTTCTTTCAGTGTGTTTCACCTGTAGACGCATGCAATCTAAGGGTATAATTAATTCACTCGTTAAGTGCATGATGTTTGCCTAACTCATTAATTTAAAAATGCATTTGAATGCCAATATGGGAGTGGACCCGTAGGAGAAAGACTTTGATTACATCATTAATAAATTTACTATATCTATGTTTCACTACGAACAAAAGACTGTTTCAATTATGTCTTGAGGAGTTGCATTAGTCACCCGCAATGAATATGTAAATTGTTTCCACATATACACTTTTGATTGTAAGGAATATGGTAAACAATTCATTCTGAAGAGTGAAAGCTTAGTTATTTATACGGACTCCCTACTGAGAACAGCTTCTATTACTCATTGTCAGAGCGGCACTTCCAGCAGCGCCAGTAATTTGGGTAGAGGTGATCTCCCGGGGTGCTAGGAAGCGTCTTTGTCGTTTCTGTTCGTCAACATTGTGAATCTAATTCATTCCGAGTTCAGTTCCTGTTTTAGGTGTCTATTTTGACGGTGGGTCGTGGGTGACTTCGATGGTGGGTCGTGGGTGACTTCGAGGGTGGGTCGTGGGTAACTTCGAGGGTGAGTCGTGGGTGACTTCGAGGGTGGGTCGTGGGTAACTTCGAGGGTGAGTCGTGGGTGATTTCGAGGGTGGGTCGTGGGTGACTTCGAGGGTGGGTCGTGGGTGACTTCGAGGGTGGGTCGTGGGTGACTTCGAGGATGGGAATTGGGTGACTTCGAGGGTGGGTCGTGGGTGACTTCGAGGATGGGAATTGGGTGACTTCGAGGATGGGAATTGGGTGACTTCGAGGGTGAGTCGCGGGTAACTTCGAGGGTGGGTCGTGGATAACTTCGAGGGTGGGTCGTGGGTGACTTCGAGGGTGGGTCGTGGGTGACCTCCAGAAGACTGAGGGTAGCTCCTAGGTTTGTTTACCAGATGCTAACTTGAATACAACTTACGAAGGAACCAGCAATCAACGTTTATTAAGAACCTAATACCCATCCTGTCGCGTAAGTATACTCTATACACCGACAACCCCATTTTAGGTGTGTATACACTGAGTTTACTTTAGTCTTGGACTGTTCTGGACTAAGTATACTCGCTTCCTGGTCATGTTATATACATATATATACTCTTATACCCGCATATACTCTTATTGAAATGTTACTGAGGTACATTATAGACTCACGAACCGAACCCCCAAAATTACGTTAGCCTAGCAAGTTATAACACTGATAACCTTGTTACAGAGTTTGTTAACATCAATAATCTTTTCACATTTACCAAACATCATCGTAACCCCAAGATGGCGTGGGTGACCTAATATAGTTGGCCTAATATAACGAGTGTGTGTTTTAGTTAGTTTAATTAGCTTGATATTTAGGGGTAATATAATAAAAGGGTAAAGGGACCCCTTTACCCATCCTGTGGGTGAGGGGCATAACGGCTTCAGTCTCATATAATGAGTTTAGGTGATCAATAAGCTCATTCCATATACAGACCTGCTCCTGTGCCAGTAAAGTCCACTACGGGCTCACCATAACCCGTGCTACTTGGAACTTTTTGTTTCCAGTAGCTGAATCTAAAACAACAACAACAATAGATATAAGCAAAGCAAATTTACAGATATGGTGAGCTAGTTACATATAATTTTGATTTGCATATGATGCATCCCACACCTATCCAGTGGGCGGCGGTGGGAAGGTTACATATAAACACAACAAATTTGTGATACTTGGCTAAGGTTTCTGACGGTATTTAATTCAAAATTATACACTTACACATTTCAAGAACATTTATGATAGTGTTGCCTCTAAATTATTGCCAGTTTTTACCATTCCTAAACATAGTGATGCAAGGTGTGGATAGTTTTGCTGACAAGTCTACAGTTGGTCAGGTTTAAATCGGCACATGATGCGGCCTCCCAGAATAACTATCTACGGGCTCACCATAGCCCGTGCTACTTGGAACTTTTTGTTCCAGGTAGCGAATCTTTAACAACAGGCCTCCCAGAGGATCCTTATCACAGAGTCAAAGCTCGGCTTTGACTCGGTAATAATCTAGGAATCTGGAATCTGCTAATTCTATTTGATTAATCGTACATTAGTAATTATTCTTGTATGGTTGTATGATGATAGATGGAATAGTTAGAGGAGATTTCGCTTCGCCTCAGTTTTGCAAGGGCTTGTTGGAGTACTTGATATGTTTTAGTTCTCAACAGGTTGCTTATAGGCAAGCTAAGGTTATAGTTAACTCCTTCTTTGAAGGCAAATTCTTTGGCTAACTTACCAGTTTTATTATACATTCAGAGACCAACATGATGGAATCCACATGAAATGGACCTAGTTTTCATTAATAATAATTTTGTTGTAGCTGTGTCTCGCTTCAGACTGTGGATTATGAAAATATTTACAGCGAAAACTATAAAAATCAGAAAGTGAGAAACCATATTTATTCAAAATTCCCAAATACGTTCGGCTTTCTCCAGCGCTGACTGATGTCGCACAGGTAAAAGTGTTTACATTTTTGCAGCAGGAAAATGCATCCAATTTGTATTTCGTTTCCACCATTCGGTAAAGTATTATTTTTGTTTTACACATATACATTTTGTTGGATTTGAGTTGTATTTATACATCTTTTAAATATCTAAATTTGTATAACTTCCTTGTATAATTTACTTAAAAATTTTCATATTATCATTATTAATATTGTAATAATAATTAATTGTTAGATGAAATAAAATAATAATATAAATATTCAAATGGCTCGCCTCAACATCAACATTTCTTTTCACCTGATGCCGCTCTTCACCTAGCAGTATAGAGTTAGCCCAGCTCATCCGAGCACCGTTCCTGTGCCAGGTAAGTCCAATACGGGCTCACCATAGCCCGTGCTGCTTGGACCTTTTTGTTCCTAGAAGCTGAATCTTAAACAGCAACAAAAGTCCGCTGTAGCTGTAGCACTTAATTTATATCAATCAATCAGCCAGCTGTTGTGGGTTGTATCCTGAGGATGGTCAGTAGTTGACCTGATAAACACACGCGAGCGCGCACATAGAGAGGATTAACTGTTCGCCCTTGTAAAACCCAGCAGTAATTGGGGACCATGTTGTAGTGTAAGGCTTACTATGGCCTATGTGAAGGTAAAGCTCTAAGCCTCCTAACAGGAGTCAGAAATCGGCTTCTCCGGTGCCTACCTGTGTAAATGAAGAGAGAATTGAGAGAAAGTGTTGGAGATTAAGCGTTGTTATATAGCGTTACTAGTCAAACGTTTACATTTGTCTGATCTTGAATAAATAATATTAGTGGCGTGTTTCGCTTTCCTGTAGACGCTTGCATTACGTAATAAACAAATAAAATATTGGTTTGGTTTTGGGCTTTTAGGCTTATCAACCTCTGGAGGTTTATTAAGGGCACCACAAATGCTTACTGACCAACCAGCAAGTATAGTTTAGTCCTGAATATTGTCCATGAATAAAGTAAACTCAGTGTATATACATCAAGAAAGGTGTTATACCTTTCGGTGTACATATGCCTTGAATTAAATATCAAATAAACTCAGCTAAATAAGGTAGATAACATTACGATCAAAATAATTTTATAAATTATTAAACAGAAAAGAGAACATTGAAGATTAACAAATATATCTACACACCGTATTTCGGTATAGTATATATAACTGAAAACTCACACCCCAGAAGTGACTCGAACCCATACTGCCAGGAGCACTCTGCTGGCGTACAAACAGGATCCCTTAACCGCTCGACGATCGAGCTGAACGATCCTGTACGCCAGCAGAGTGCTCCTGGCAGTATGGGTTCGAGTCACTTCTGGGGTGTGAGTTTTCAGTTGCATATAGTCCTGGGGACCATTCAGGCTTGTTCGCATAGTATATATATATAATTCAGACTAGGGTGTATTTTAGTCCTGGGTCAATATTCAGGATTATAAAGTATACTTTCCGTTTGGTGAGAAGGTATTGTGGTGGGCACTGTAACCCTCCCGAGGATGATGGAGTATAACCCTAGCACCACACAAGGATTACGGTCACCTGACATTTCTCCACGCGCGAGGAGTCACCTCCACACTCTCACTTTCCTACACACCGTAATAGTATATGTTGTCAGGAGCTTAAGCGTTGATCCTCATCTCTTTGGAATATATCAAAGACCTCAGCAACATAACACAGGAATCATATTATTTACATAACATCATCTAAAAATTCCTCATGTCATCAGTCAACAGCAATGCAACGGTCGCTGCCTGAACAATAAATCATTCATTACATTTTTAAATTGTTTGGATAAAAAGACAGAAATGGTTGGGCACATTTCCTTTCACCTAATGCTTCTGATCACCTAGTAGTAAGTAGGTACTCAGGAGTTAGTCAGCTTGTTGTGGGTTTGCATCCTGGGCAGGGTCAGTAAATCGATAATGGGGGGGGGGGGACTAGATATAAGCCTAACTTGTATCTATCCTCAATACTCTGTAAGTTCAATCATATCATCATTATCTCAGTAATAGTTTTTCTTGGGTTATGAGAATAATAGATTATTCTCATGACAGAGAATTAATAGATTACAAAACGAAGCCATGAGAATAATCTATTATTCTCAAGGCTTCGTTTTGTACCTTCTCTAACTTGTTCTGCCTTTACCAAAACAAGACATGACAGGGGCAGCATAATCAATAAGAGATCTCACAGTATGCCATGTGATTACCATTGGAATGTAAAATACAGAATATAATTAATAATTGTGAATTGTATGGGTTTGTGAGCCCCTTGAGGGACCTTCTTATATAGAAGAGGGTAGAAATAGCCTAAGCTACTCTATTCTTTTGAGATGTACTTACTTTTCTCAATAAACTTAATTGAACTTAAACTTAAACTAACGTGTAAGAATACACTCTGGCTTCCTGTTCCCCGACACAAATAATTATTATTGAAATTTATTAAACAGCGATTATAATACTGCTACCAATAATATTACTGTCTATTGATTTTGTTGGGGCGTACAGTGTTATCGTTTTCTGGCTCATTATTTCCTTCTTGGTTGTGTGTGTAAAACAGTTTTCGTTTCTAGGAGAAAATGTCTGGTTTAGTGGGCTTAAGGTCCTGTCAACTTCTGCAAGGTTAATAAGCCACCGTATTAGGTTATTGACCAACCAGAAAGTATACTTCAATTCAGAACACATAGCCTAGGACTAAAGTATAATTACCAGTAATTTTTTGGGTGCATCTATGTATATATTTAATCCTGTTAAAATAAAAGTATAAATGTACAAACACTCAAGAATAAAGCTTTCGAGTTAATTTGATTACTTTGATTTGGTGTTAGGCTTTAGGTCTATTAGCCACCATAACTGCATACATTTTAACCAGTAAGAATTCTTCAGTCCCGAACATTGCTCAGAATTAACAGTAAACTCACTGTGTATACATCTACGAGCGGAACGATTCCTTAACATATATACATTCCTCAATGTGAATGATTAACATTTATATCGTTTATATTATCGGTTACTGATAAATCGTAGCACAATGGTCATGCTTACTCCCCATATATCATGCGGTTATCACTTCTCCTATTTCCTCTTTTGTCGACAAGTGCTGTGATCTTGTAGTAGTGAGTCCCGACTGGGGCTTGCTTTTTTAAATACTAAATTAATTCCTTGTCGTATCTTTAAAGCTTTATTTATATATTCCGTTGGAACTTTAATAATTAAACATTTTTACTTCATAATAGAATAGGCGTCAGGTTGTACTTTTTTCACAAGCTTTTGTAAATTCTCGTGGAACTCCAGACACGAGGTCGTGGAACCGTGGAATGGAATCTTGAGTTATCAAATAGGTCCCTTAAAAGTGTCATTAGACGAGAACTCTTGGATGAATTTGAAGAAAGCAGAACAGTACAAACTGGAATTAGCAGGTCCATTGTTCACCATAATGAAATGTGTCAAACATGTGTTTGGGGCAAGTGACATAATCAGCAGAGTAACAGACGTTATCACAGCTCGAATAAGTCTTTTGGCTACAAGTATCTCTGGCAGTTCGGCTTGTATAGGGATCTAGGTTAAGTCCTGAGTGGACAAAGATAGAGACACACACTCGAACATTATATCTTGGACAGTAGTAAAATTGAGCCAGAGATAAGTCTAAACTCACGTTGTATGATATGGTAAACATCTCATTACTAAGGGTAAAATACCTGAAATCCTTGCACTGCATCCATATTTCGTTTCCAGTGGATAAACGACATTAAAATTAAGAAACAAATAGTGTATTTTGAAGACTAATAATAACAAACAGCAGCTCCCCTGAGACTGTAACATCTCCATTGCTCAAAGAATTAAGTATTAGCGATAAGACCAACCATTAATGTATAATGATTTACTGTAAATATATAGATCTTGAAATAGAGCATTCTCTGTAACTAGCTGACATTGTAATTATAAGGTGTGAAGGATAGACGAAATTGTTAATGTAATAAATCTCCGTTGAGGTCTGATAAAGACCTTTTGTGCCCTCTGTAATCCTTTTTGCGCTACCGCTCACAGGATGAGTATAGGGTGCACAATAACCTAGCCGCCTCCGGCAGAAATAATAATAATAAAATCCATGGGTCATGGAATCCAGTGTTCCGCGGAACCTCAAGTGGGAATCATTGTCTTCAGGGATTCTCTTTGCAAATATGTTTGTGCAATCACCGAGATGTCTGCCTTTCTAAATCTACTTTTTCTCTTCCTCTGCAAATTTTCCAGAGTCACCGCTGCTTAGATGCGTCATGGAACATGAGTTCCGAGATGCCTGCCCCTTCCAGGTTTGCATTCACTTGTAATTATTTAAGTTTTCCTTAAGCCTGGCTCACGTTTTTTATATGGCTGTAACACCGGTTTCACTACAACTGTGATTTTTTTGTAATTCAATCATAAAACTTCTAAATCAAAATTGTAAATTGTGTAATGATAGTGCTGACGTTCTATACTGTTACAGTAAGTGTGACTTTTTTTGTATGTAATTAATGTACTGTAATATTGTGTAAACTAATTCAATAAAGTATGCACAACCATTTATAAATAATTTTTTTGTTATATTTCATTTTATTACGCCGCCGCCCTCACAGTGTTCAGGAGAGAACTGGATAAGCACCTCCAAAGGATACCTGATCAACCAGGCTGTGACTCATACGTCAGGCTGCGAGCAGCCGCGTCCAACAGCCTGGTTGATCAGTCCAGCAACCAGGAGGCACGGGTCGACGACCGGGCCGCGGGGACGCTAAGCCCCGGAAGCACCTCAAGGTATCGTAAGGTATCCCCCTCCCCACACGCTACTTTTTTTTTTTTTTTTTTTTTGAGATATATACAAGAGTTGTTACATTGTTGTACAGCCACTAGTACGCGTAGCGTTTCGGGCAAGTCCTTAATCCTATGGTCCCTACTGTGTCAACCCCGCCCACACCCACGCCCATACTCCCCACGCCCACTCGCCCATGTTGGCACCCACATCTGTACCAACGTGGTCACCCACGTCTGCGTCAGCACATTCGTCCAACATCAGACTTGTGCAAAGGAACCCATTAGCGTATAAACCCAGGCTCACGCCCACACCCATGTCCACGCCCACACCCAGGTCCACGCCCACACCCATGTCCACGCCCACACCCATGTCCACACCCACACCCAGACTCGAGGCATTACCAATCACTTTCACTTTATGCTTATGCGAGGAGAAACGTACCTGGGCAAGGGGACGCTCTCAACCGTTCAGCCAGACGGGCCTTTCTATCCTCCTTCAACACTGACGAAAAGGGAGCCGGTCGGCCGAGCGGACAGCACGCTGGACTTGTGATCCTGTGGTCCCGGGTTAGATCCCATGCGCCGGCGAGAAACAATGGGCAGAGTTTCTTTCACCCTATGCCCCTGTTACTTAGCAGTAAAATAGGTACCTGGGTGTTAGTCAGCTGTCACGGGCTGCTTCCTGGGGGTGGAGGCCTGGTCGAGGACCGGGCCGCGGGGACACTAAAGCCCCGAAATCATCTCAAGATAACCTTAAGATAACCTGACATCACCGCTGTGGGACACACACACAGGTGGCTGAGTGGACAGAGCTCTAGACTCGTGGACCTAGGGACCGGGGTTCGATCCCCGGCATCGCCGGAATAGCAAATAGGTATAGTTCCCTTCACCCTGATGCACCTGTTACCTAGCAGTAAATAGGTACCTGGGAGTTAGACTTTACGACAGCTGCTACGGGCTGCTTCCTGGGGGTGTGTGTGTGAAAAAAAATAGTTGTGGCAGTTGATTGATTGACAGTTGAGAGGTGGGCCGAAAGAGCAGAACTCAAGACAGAACTCAAGAGCAGAACCCCGCAAGCACAACTAGGTGAATGCACACACACAGTTTTCTTTTTAACACCCATTTTGACTTGTACTTTAAAGCCAAAAAATGATAAAATGGTGATAATTGTGAATATTTGAGATCTTCAACATCGAGGACATGACGTCATTCATTCAAATTATGAGACACAGGTGCCAAAAAAGTAAGTAGCGAATTGAATCATAGACAGGGAAAAATTAAATGAACTAGCAGGGAATGCCAAACCTATCGAAAAATTTAAAATACCATAAGCCAAAGATTATTGGGGTGGGGGTGGGGGGGTTATGGTCCACAATGAGCATCTTTCACATTTTACAACTGCACTTAGTTAATTACTCTTTAGTCAATTATATACCGTTACGGAGTTCCGCCTGTATTCCCCTATTCCCGCATCTAAGAGTCATATTTCCCTATCTGTATATACCTAGAAGTTTTAGTTGATCTTGAGGCACTTGAAAGGGAGCAAGGTGCTGCAGTTACAAGAAATATCGATTTTAAATTTAATTGGGAGAGGCTAAGAGATGGTATTTGATTACACACAATAACGTGATGCATCAAATGAACAAAATTTGGTGCATCAAATTCAAATTTTGTTCATTTGATGCATCACGTTATTGTGATTTCTGTGTGTAATGAAGTAAGGGTGAAGAGGGAGAACGGCCTATTGACATAGCTCGAGTGCATGGAGGGAGTTGTGTAAAACCCTGGTTTGTGTCTCGGACAGGCTGCAGGATCCAGTAAGTTCAAGAGAACTTCGGTTCAACTCTTTTTGACCTTGTCGTAGCTCAGTCGATTAAGGCAGCGTCTGGGATGCTCTCGGACGCAGGTTCGAATTCTCGTCACGGCTCTTGTGGATTTGTTCATGGTATTTGATATTCTATCATCAAATATGGCGTAGTAGTTCGCGAGAGAGGAGAGCTTTCCCGCTCGGGGCGAACCCCCCAGTGCATGCTGGGTAAAGCGTCAGGTGCGGCGTGATTGGTCGGCGGCGGGAGGGCTTGGCCAGGTTTACCAATGGCGTCGCGCCCCGGGCGTGACATAGCATGACGTCAGGCGCCCCTGCAGAGGAAGGCGGGATGTTGTTGTTGTTAAAGATTCGCTACCTGGAACAAAAAGTTCCAAGTAGCACGGGCTATGGTGAGCCCGTATTGCCTTTTTTTTTGGAAGGCGGGAGATCTGAGTCACTCGCTACCTCTTGTGTCCCATTGTTTGTTTACCATGTGTTCCATTGTTTATTCCCCGTGTCCCCTTGTTTATTGCCTCGTGTCCCCTTCTTTGTTTGATAAGATTTGGTGTGCAGGTTTCTTTCTCGAGTCGACACACGTCGCTACTTTCCCTTTATCTTGTGCTGTTCATTTGGTCTTCTGTTTTCTATTCACATTCCTATCACTTAATATTTTCTCGTGTTGAACTCTTGTAGCGATTTCTCCAACCATCTCTAACGTCTTGAAGAATCCTTCAATCTCATCTGTCACAAATTGTCTCATTAAATGTGTACTCACCTAGTTGTACTCACCTAGTTGTGTTTGCGGGGGTTGAGCTCTGGCTCTTTGGTCCCGCCTCTCAACCGTCAATCAACAGGTGTACAGGTTCCTGAGCCTATCGGGCTCTATCATATCTACATTTGAAACTGTGTATGGAGTCAGCCTCCACCACATCATCCCCTAATGCATTCCATTTGTCAACCACTCTGACACTAAAAAAGTTCTTTCTAATATCTCTGTGGCTCATTTGGGCACTCAGTTTCCACCTGTGTCCCCTTGTGCGTGTTCCCCTTGTGTTAAATAGACTGTCTTTATCTACCCTATCAATTCCCTTCAGAATCTTGAATGTGGTGATCATGTCCCCCCTAACTCTTCTGTCTTCCAGCGAAGTGAGGTTTAATACCCGTAGTCTCTCCTCATAGCTCATACTTCTCAGCTCGGGTACTAGTCTGGTGGCAAACCTTTGAACCTTTTCCAGTTTAGTCTTATCCTTGACTAGATATGGACACCATGCTGGGGCTGCATACTCCAGGATTGGCCTGACATATGTGGTATACAAAGTTCTGAATGATTCTTTACACAAGTTTCTGAATGCCGTTCGTATGTTGGCC